ACTTTTTAAAAAAAAAAATTGAAAAAAAAACTGTTCTTAAGTTCCAAAATTTAATTAATCACAACGAATTGTCAATGGAAAAATAATTTTCTTCTGATTGAAATTCGTAAGGGAATGAATGAATAACTACGCTGGCGGGGTTTCTGAATCTGACGCTGTCTAAGATCGCAATGTTATTACAGTTTGCTTGCGACGTACTCTCAAAGGACAATTAAGACAGAGTGACTAGGGTATCTCTGCTCCCCGAGCTCCTCTCGTAGTAGAACTTTTTAACTGCTAAGAACCATGCATCGGCCGGGTCACATGTGTGAGCCAGAAGTCAACCGTTCTGCCGGTGCTATTAAGCTGAGATTGCTTGTAGTTTCGATAAGTCCAACTTCTGTTATTCTTAAGGAGAAAATGTCTCCGGTGTCGTGGAATGTACAGAAAGCGTAACAGACTAATATATATTTATTTATTACCTGATGTCCTGTATAAAACTAAACCCCCACTTCTTTCGTTCCGTCATCCGAGCTTGTATGCTGCGATTCTACCTTGTTTAACATTTTATTTATGTCAGATAAGCACATTTCAGAATTCAATATGCTAGATTCAACATCATATGTTCTCCTGAATCTGGCAATTGAGTACTTGTAATTCAGTTCCCTATGCAGTTTTCGAAGATTATTTTTCCAGTTCCAAGGCCAGCTGGTGAGCATGACTGTGTACACTTCTTTGTACTCCTCTCTCAAGATGGCGTAGATAGCCGCGTTCACGGCGGAGTTGGCGAAGAACATGATCATGGCGTAGGTCTTTATAACTTCGGTCGTTGCAGGGGATAACACTTTCTTGATTTTTAACGGAGCCACCAGAATAAACGGGAGCCATAAAATTATAAACAAGAGCATGAGCACCACAGTCACCTTGACGCTACTGATGCGGTTTTCGAACTGGACTATGCTGTCATTTGACCAGGTCGGGAGCGTTTTTTTCGAGGCCTTGATCTGCTGTAGAACGATGTAGATGATCTGCACGTTGAGGATAACCGAGACCCAAATGCACATCTGAAGCGCTATCACCGTGGACCAAATGATGTAAATTTGTGGAAGCACACGGTAGGCATGGCAGCGCTCGTTGAGATTTTTGACATTGTAGTCGTAGAAGTTCCAGCCCATTATTGGGAGCATCGAGATCGTGAACATATAAACTCCCAGGGCGACCAAGACCCGGATCATTCTTTCGTTGGTCACAAGAGAGCAGTACCGCAACGGCCACATGACCGCGATGTAGCGATCTATGGACAAGAAGAGCAGAGCGTGGATCGAGCCGCCGGCGAACATGATGACCGAGCAGAACCGTATCAGGCACAGATACTTGCTGTCGCTGATGAACTCTTTGGTCAGATCGGAGTAGCAGAGCATGTACATGGGCAGGCAGACCAGGCCCACCATGCCGTCGTAGACGGCCAGGTTCATCAGCAGGAAGTTGTTGCTGGTGTAGAAGCCCGGGTACAGCAGGATCCCCCAGAAAACGATGATGTTCGACGCTATGATCATCGGGATGTAGATCATGCTGACGATGACAAAAATCATATGGGCGTGTTTAACATTTTCGTTTGTCAAAAATTTGAACTTGTCCTCGTCATAGGTTTCATTATAATGAAGGGTGAAATGAATAAAATCAATCATTTTTTTCCCGCCTTAAAAAAAAAAAAAATTCTGTTCACCAGTGTTGCTGGTAACTTCTAACTGTCGGGGAGATGCTGTTCATCTTGTGTTTAGGTGACCTGCAAATGGATCAACACAAGGATGGTATTGGGCTTGTGCTTTAAGGTTTCTATACAAGTATTTTTTTTAAATAGCGCGAAGATCGTATTAATAATGGCATGAATATTAGATCTTTCCTTAAAGGGCACATCCCTCTCGACTACATGCAACGATATTATTATTATTATTTTCTTAATAGCTTTCGCCCCTGTCCTATTATCTTATCGGTGGCACACGTTTTTCATAAAGTTTACGGCCCACCTTACATTTTGAGTTGTGCAGACCTGCATTGAAGTATTCGCCATCGTTCAATGGTTAAAATGCATTCATCGCACACACAATTAAATAGCGTATTTCTAGAGCAAAAAAACATTTTATGCATTAAACAAATGTATACTTTTTTATTGTATGTAATGCCTTATAATGCGCCGCAGAAATAAATACATAAATATATTTCCTCCTTCATTTACTTGATGTCTTAAAAAATAAAGATTTTCCAATTTGTCATTGTTTTACCGCCATTTTCCAGCTCTAATGTGTAAAAAATAAATTTGAATTACAAATTTCAAGGGACATAAAATAATTCAAAAACTGCCTTTTTTACAACTCTTAACTCCCTTGGGGGATGACTAGATCTACTCTGGAATTATTATAGATGATGTGATTTGTGATACATCCCGATACACATGAGCAAACAGAGTAAAGGCACAGTAAAGACACACTAAAGACACAA